TTGTATTAGTGTGACAGTGTTGTGTGTTAGTGTGACAGCGTGTGGTGCGAACTTGTGTTAGTGCGAAAGTGTTTTTCAGTGTTGTGATGGCAAGCTGTGTGATAGCCTAATGGCGTCTTTTGTGTCGGTAAGATGGCACGCTTTTATGAAAGTGCTATTGAGCTTTAGCAAGTGGCCCTATCTGGACACGCCTTATTATAATTGATCAGTTCTCAGATATACAGTGAATTACCGGTATTATTGTCACCATGAAATCAGCATTTACAGTTGCAATTACCTAGTTAGTAATCATAAGATATTGGTTTGCCAGTTTTAAAATTATGGTGTTCCAATGATGTGAAGTTGCAGTGTGTTAGCATGTTAATTTCAACAGACTGCCACTCCAATGCAGCTTTAAACAACACACTGCTGTGTTTACACAAAACAAAATATCATGCAAACACAACTCTAAACAATCTGTTGAGTGTTAGCTTCACTGCATGTTGGATTCAGTGTGCTGGCATATTATCACTGACGTACATGCTAGCACATTGTCACCTCGTGCTAGTATGTTGTCATAAATACTCTAGCACATTATCCTAAACCCACTAGTGCATGATTACTTTGCACTTGTATGTTGTCTTATTAGGGGATAGCATAAATGACTGCCTTAATTGGTGTAAACTTCTTTTAATTGATGAAAGAGTACATTAAAATTTACAAATTATACACAGAAAATGTGACAATATCTTATCTCTCAATTTGATAATCTAATTTATAATCTCATGAATTGCACTTTTTATTAGTAAAAGAATTATAAATTAAAAAATTTCAATTTCTTTTGGATAGGTGTGACTCATCTGAATACTGAATTTTGATACCAAGCATGACCATGATTTGCCAGAAGATCATCTGTTTGGATGTGACATGGAATAAACAGCATAGTGAAAATAAGTCAAGTTTTGGTTTGTGAAGACAATTTTTAAACACACTGTGTATCATTTTTAAATTTTGATTTGACAACATAAATCCACAAATATGAACATATCAACTGCTCTCAGTTTTTCAAGTGAAATAGTTTTTGTAACAGAAATACATGTACCAGTAATTACATTGGAATAAATGTTATTTTTCAATATAATAATATTTTGTTTGTGTAGCATGTTGACCTCTTTATTAAGGTCTTCCCTTTCAAAGTTTAGACTTACTTATTCTAATGATTAAGATAGATCCTCTGTCTTCAGCAGGAATATAAGATCTTGTAATACATGTATGTGTATTTTTTACAGTATAATGTAAAAAAAATTGTTATTTTGGCACATACAACTAATTAAACATGTGTATGATTCCAAGGAATTCAGTACATAGGGCATGTACATGTAGTTTTCTAAAACAAGATTGAAGAGATGTCCAGTCGCATTTCAATGTCAACTCCAAAACTGTGCCTGTTGCATACTTATTAGCCCATCTGAGCTAAAGGAACCAGTAAATTTTTTAAAAACATAATTTTATCCATTATCATCATTGTCTAAAATTTCACAATATCATTTTCCAGAACCAAAGTGAAACTTGGCACAGAGCATCCTTAGTGTAGGGGATTCAAATTGTTCTTATGCAGGGCAATACCTTCAAAGAGATTTGTTTCTTTAATGCTGTAAATGTATTATATTTAGCTTGTACAATATTTGGTGGAAATTGACTTTTGAATAAGTTAGCGTAGATATTCTTATTTATGTTTATGTACAAGACTTTTAGCTTTGTACTTGATTTAGTGATTGCTGCATTCCGCCAAAGCCGCTAAAAAAGAATACACAGCCATATGTAATATGTTCATAATATACCTTTCAGAGAATTTTACACTCCTATTGAGGTACCACCAGTTGCTAGTGGAAAGCTTCAAATTCGAAACATACACAACACATTTCTGTGCATTTATTATAAAAGTATTGTTCTACTTACTGATTGCAACTAATGAAGATTGTTCATCATTATTGTAAATACATTTGGATTTTTTGAATTATTATATATAATTTGTTTATTTTATTTACCTAGTTATATTGTATATTAAATGATTTTAAAGCCATTTTTAAGATGGTAATGTAGCAAAACACTTATGTTTCTGTAGTATGACACGTTTCACAAACATAATTGCAACAAACATGATATATCCGATATCAAAAGTCATAATATTGGAAGTTAAACTGTTGTGGATACGATTTCAAGAATGCTGTTAGAGAGAGTACCCTTTAGACCTCATGCTCACACCAAATTAAAGAATTCAAGTAAGGGTTTTTGAGACAAATCGAAAAAGAGAATGTTAGCAAAGTTGACAATCTAGACAGAAACATTGAATCTTTTGCTTATCGCTAGGAAGGAAGACCCACTCGTTGCTTTGCAACGAGCTTTGCTCTAGTTTCTTCTTATTTCTTCTCCGGTACTTTTTTGTCCGGAAGTGTTCTCAGAAACTGTTCACCAAACTAAGTTAAAACCTTTTTAGGGTTAGTAGGCATGTTGTGTAGATGTGCCGAACGAAGGTCATTTTGCGCGCATTCGCATGCACGTGCGGGCGCGTGCAATAAGTAAACTGACCGATATATTTGATATAGTCATAACTTTTATATTTTTTGATAAAATGTTTTGAAACTCATTATATAAAGATATATAAGTAGTGTAGATAAGATGACATGGTCAAATTTGCATGAACTCACGCGCATGCACGTGCGCTTCGCTCTGATTGGCTGAAACAGAAATCTTAATATCTTTTTTGTTTTATGATGAAATGCTTTGAAATTTATAACATAGACATGTATTAGGATGTACTACAATATGATATCTAAAATTTTTCATGAAATCACGCGCATGCACGTGCGCTGCAATCTGATTGGCTGAAACTTTAAATGACTATAACTCCCTTGGTTTTCAACCAAACAGCATGGGATTTAGAACATAGATAGACATAAAGGACTCCTACAAGATGGTTTGGTCACCATTCACATGCATGCACGTGCGTGCACGTGCGCTTTGCTCTGATTGGCTGAAACAAAAATCTCAATATCTTTTCTGTTTTTTTACAAAATGCTTTGAAATTTAAAACATAAGCATACTTTAAGATGTCCTACAATAAGATATATAATAATTGTCATGAAAACACGCGCATGCACGTGCGCTGCAATCTGATTGGCTTAAACTTTAAATGGCTATAACTCCCTTGTTTTTCAACCAAACAGGATGGGATCAAGAACATAGACAGACATTATGGACTCCTACAAGAAGGTATGGTCATCATGCACGTGCGTGCACGTGCAATGAGTAAAATAGTGTAGACAAGATGATATCGTCATTACGCTCATGCAATCACATGCGCACGCCTGCATTGCTTAAATTTGAAATACTTGGTATACTTTTGGAAAAACGTTGTTTACGTCTTAAATGCATAGATTTTGCTTTCTTTAATGAAACTTACAGGGAATATGGCACGAGAAGGGAGTTAGGGAGCGTTTGGGGAACATCTGTAACGGTTCCCGTTACAATTAGCACTAGTTATTATTATTTTTCTTCTTCCTGGGAAAATCTTTTCCGCGAGTGATCTTGTAAACTACACATCCGACTAAGGTAAAACCTTTTTAGGGTCAGTAGGCATGTAATGTAGATTTGCGGAACGAAGGTCATTTTGCGCGCACATGCTTGCAAGAGCGCGCACGTGCAACACGTGAAATGACCAATATAATAGATATAGCCGTAACTTTTCTAATTTTTGATTATATGCTTTGAAACTCATAATATAAGTATATATTAGTAGTATAGACGTGATGACATGGTCAAATCAGCAAGATCTCACGCGCATTCACGTGCGCTTTGCTCTGATTGGCTGAAACTAAAGTCTCAATATCTTTTTTGTTTTTTGATAAAATCATTTGAAATTTTGAATATAGTCATACATTAGGGAGATCTACAGCCTGTAATTTAAGATTTATCATGAAAGCATGTGCATGCACATGTGCTTGCAAGAGCTCGCACGTGCAACACGAAAAATGTCCAATATAATTGATACAGACATAACTATTTAAATCATTGATGAAATGCTTTGAAACTCATATTATAAGTATATATTAGAAGCATAGACAAAATACATGGTCAAAAAAGTAAGATCTCACGCGCATGCACGTGCGCTTCGCTCTGATTGGCTGAAACTAAAGTCTCAATATCTGTCTTGTTTCTTGTCATAATCCTAGGAAATTTTGAGCATAGACCTACTTTATGAAGATCTACAGCATTATATATAAGAATTTTCATGAAAGCATGCTCATGCCCGCGTGCTGCAATCTGATTGGCTGAAACTTTAAATGGCTATATCTCCTTTGTTTTTTGAGGAAATGCTTTGAAATTTAAAACATAGTCATGCATTATGATATCCTACAATATGATATAGAAAAAAAATCATGAAATCACGCGCATGCATGTGTGCTGCAATCTGATTGGTTTAAACTTGAAATGGTTATAACTCCCTTGTTTTTCAACCAAACAGGATGGGATTTAGAATATAGATAGATGTAAGGGACTCCTACAAGAAGGTATGGACATCATGCACATGCATGCACGTGCGTGCATTTGGAACGAGTGAAATGAAAAATACACTTGAAAAAGTGATTTTTCATACTTTTGGACTGAATGCTTTAATATATTGTATATTAAGATATGTAGATAGTGTAGACAAGATGATATGATCATAACGCACATGCATTCACATGCGCACGGATGCAATGCTAAAATTTGAATATAATTGACATTCTTCTGAGAAAACGTTGTTAAAGTCAAAAATGCACAGAGTTTGTCTTATTTAATGAAGCTTACAGGGAATATGGCACCAAAAAGGAGTTGGGGAGCGTTTGGGGAACATCTGTAACGGTTCCCGTTACAATTAGCACTAGTTTTTAGTAAAATGCAATAATCAAACTGGACATGAATTATGACCTCTATACTGACCATAAAATAGACTATAAAGTCTGATTTAATCTTTGTAGACAAATCAGGGTGCAATCCAGATGAAGCAGTAAACATTGTGAAAAACATCAAAGAGAATTGCCCCAACCTAGAGTTTACAGGACTGATGACCATTGGGTCGTTTGATCATGACCTATCCAAAGGGCCCAACCCCGATTTTTTGGTATAAATGCATTTATATATTTTAATCAATACTCCTGTTATTTTCTTAATAGTTATGTAATTTTTATGTTTGTCTTGGCTAATTGCTTCTGAAACTTTTCATGTGATGAACATTAGTTATGAGATGGAATTACTGTGGAATTGTCAATGTTTGTTGGGGACTAATGTTAATGATTTTTTCAGGACATCCTTATCCATCAATTTACATTAAATCCCACCAACCATTGATTATTTGGTAAACATCATTATTTATTAATTGGTTCTTCTGTATACAGATTACCCATGAAATTACATTCCAAGGGACCACGGAAATTTTGCCAACCCACAAATATTAACCTTAAGTTTGCAAAATAAAAAGATAATATTCTGCAGTTTCCTTAATTTTTATATGAGCAGGATTGTTTGAGTAATTTATCATCTTTTGACAGAAATTATCAGAATGTCGAAACAAAGTATGTGAGGAATTAAAACTCAATAAGCAAGAAGTGGAACTCAGCATGGGAATGTCAGGCGACTTTGAACATGCAGTAAGTATATATCAAACAAGGTCATTTTAGATGCTGAGTATAGTTCTATTTCAAACCAATTCAATATGCAATACAGTAAAACTTGTTTAGCATGAATATGGATTTTTGCAATTCACGGATATAGCGAAGTTATCTTGTATCGCAAACCATGTAAATTTAATAAATTCCTTATATGGACCCAACAAATTACTGAATGATATAGGAAAGTAATTTCATAGGTCCCAGGGACATTGTTATAACCAGGTTTTACTGAAGTTCTATATCATCCAATTCAATATGCAAAATAGTGATATTAATAGTAGTTCTGTATCATCCAAGGCTTTAGGAAAGTTGACACACAAAATCACTTCATCAGTCTTATTGTGAAATAAAATTAGTATATACATATGATATTGTATCAAAGACATTACCTATGTTCTTTTAAAAAATGTAATAATTTTATTCCAAACTGACTGGGCATTTTTAAATTTCATCTTGCAAATTTCTTTGAAACCTGAACTAGGTTTAAGCTCCCAAACTTTTGTTTTTCTTAACTAACTACATGTAATTACTAGGGATGTGCGATTTTATCGATATACCGGGATATCGCGATTTTTTGTTTGATACGTATCGTGATACGGAGACCTAAATAACGGTCTTTAGGTGCATACTATAAAGTCAAGAAATTATTCATTTATTTGTTCAATCTTTCAAATTGAAATTACAGAAAGTATAAAAATGTTGTAAAAAGTGAAGAGAACTGCATCTTACCATCCAAACATAATTGATTTTATATCCATAAAAATTTCAAGAAAGTAAAATTTTGTTTTTCTAGCAAATTTTTTAGAAAAATAATGACTTTTCATACAAAATCATTGTAAAAACTGCTTTTAAAAATATCATGATATTATCGTGATATTGTGGGAAAAAATCGTGATATATCGCGATACGAAATTTTTGGCGATACCCATCCCTAGTAATTACACACATTCTGATGAAAAAAGCACAACTGTAGAGCATAAGAGCAAGTTTAAGTTGAATAGAATTCTTGTGCATAAGCGTATCCCGCATGAAAGAAAATTAAAAAAAAGGTAAATACATGTATTTGAAGTAAGCGTCTTACTTCTATTTATGCAGATTGAACTAGGAAGTACCAATGTACGGGTGGGATCCACCATATTTGGAGCAAGAGAACCTCCTAACAAAACGAGCGGAAATTCTGCCTCGTCATCAGGGGTCAAGGGCAGTTCTGGGTCAACAAACAAAGAATCTAATGTCAAGGACAAAGATGTGTTGAAAGCCAGCAATGAACTTAATGAAATGTCTCTAGCTATGTAATATTCTAGCAGTATTTGTTTTTCAGGTGCTACAGTATTATTTCCAAGCTTGATCAACTGTGTTGGGAAAAATTGTGTGTGGGGTGGTTTTTTTGTATGTTTATGGAATAACACAATGGGTAAATTAAAATGAATTGTACATAATATAGAAATAGGGCATGTGACATTGTATATTTAATTGTTTGTATGCCTGAATATGAACAGTTTTGTTTGCCAATAGTCACTCTTGTTATTCAGGAAATGTTTATTATGTATTTTATATGCAAATAATAAGTGGTTATAGTGCTAGCTTAGATTATTGCACATGATGAAATAATATTCTATATCAGACTTGCAGCTTGAACAGTTGTAATGAGGTATTTTTTCCTCCTATACATTTATATAGATTTTCTTGATATATTGCTTATAGAATATTGTGTATATTATAAATCCTAGATTTTGGGAATTCTTATTTGTTTTACACAAATTTTGTTGAAAGTTTCACATATCCAATAACCTTGTTTTTAAGTACTGTATACTTATTTATTATATTTGGCTATGTATTCTTTGCCTTACTATGTATGGCAGAAAATATCCTCCATTGCCAATTGTCTTGCACATGAACACATGCAAATAAAAATTTTGCTAATTGAAATCTTTGCTAAATAAGATCAATTAACAGTATCCACCAAATTTCATACACTTTTAATATTATACAATTTGCAGTACAATTTGTCCTTTGATTAAAAATTATTTCTATAAGGGATGAGACGAAAATTATCAAAGTCAAAGTCAATATGTTTTTTTTTTTAAATTTCCAACCATAGTTTCAGATGAGGCTTTTTTGGAGTATGAATTTCTTTACAAATTTTAAGTAAAATCCCCTTGACCAATTCGTTAAAATTACGAGAAAGAATCCCCACTCCTGCTATATAATCAGAACACCTATTGTACTTGCTTAATTTAAAGTAGGCTTTGTAAATATCCGGTGAAAACTTGAACAAAATATACAGCAACCGGTAGTTCATTATAGATATATACATATTTATTTTATCATACAGTAAAAAACTGTTTTACTTCTCACAAAAATTATGTATGGTTATGTATTAAGGAACCTACAGAATTTTAATTTGCTTTGGTATTCGGTTAATAGGGTTTTTCATTAACTATAAAATTTCACTCGAATGTGTATGGTTTGACAAAGTTTAATTATGCTACACTTAATGAGTATAGTTTTAATACATGTACTATGTTGTTGAATATTTTTATTTAAAATGATTATTTGTACAGTAAATTGTTTTGATGACAGAGAGTTTCTTTTTTTAATTACTGAACATGACAGCGTAGTGGTTGGGAGGCCTGGGTTCAGCTCTCTTTCACAGCAATCTAGATCTTCTTGTGCAGAGTGCATACGGCGAGGATCTACGAAGTCTGATTTTGATTCTAGATGGCTTTCACAGCATCGCGTGTCAAACTCCAGATGTAAACAAAGTGACTGTACATTAGCCAAACACCTGTAATTAGAAGTGCTAAAAACGGGTATAGCGGATGGTAACTTAAAAACCGAGGTCCCGTGTTACTGAAAGGTTGGCACAATTAAGATCCCTCATTGCATAACGACTCCAAAGTTCCAGTTATACATGGATATAAAAATTGAAATCTTTCACTAATATACACGATGTCTTCTTTATAGAATGAGAAATTCTCGAATGGGAACTAAAACAACGTGTACAATCAATCACTTTAAATTATTCTGTTCTGAAGATTTCTTTTACTTCATAGGTGGAATACAGTATATTAACCATTTTAATCAAGATGTAAACCAAAAATGAGACTCTGAAATTCGAGAGCACCCCGATCTGTTATAATTATTACTAGTATTTAATAAAATTCAATGCACCCAGTGTTTTAAGACTACATACTAATATTATTGGTATAATCGCATGTATGTAGATTTGTGGGTTTTTTTTTTTATTTCTAGGACTTGATACAGACAGTACAATTTGGTATCTAAATTCGAAATTTCCTACTGAATAATACATGTATTATCATTCCAGACTTGTTCATATAATTTAAGCATCAGCTGAAATGGCTAGACGTCTTCATGGAGATGGTACAGGTATACATTTAAACAAAGTTTCTTCACCAGTGGACTCGGGGGTCATTGGTGGATGGGACTTCTTCGTAATTAAAGCGACATGGATACAGTTTCAACTGATTTTTAAAAACCAATTTTAATATTTACGGTATTTTACAGTTCCTAACTCTGGCAATTCCAATGATCAAAATAAATTGAATATGATTTTTTGATTTACAAAGAAGAAAAAGAACTTAAAAATTGTTCATAATGCATACTCTAATTTATAAATATTTGTAAACATAAAAAATGGAAAATTAAAATATATGGATAAAGCTTTTCTATGATTTTTAAAAAAGTTTTTCTATTTATTTTTAGAGCCGCAATCCTTCTTGAAATAGATATACAATTAACGAAATGTTGCTTTTTCTGAATGTTAAAACGCCCAGGTGTGAAGAGTTATCGTTATTTGTACAAATATGCAAAAATATGATAAGAAAAAATTTTGTAATGGCAATTTTTTAATATTTTTAAAAAGTTTTATTATACAATTAAGAACATTGACCAAAATTAAATTTTTAAAGATATAAGTCAGCAGATTTAAATTATTCTGAATTTCTTTTTTTCCAAATAATATTATTAAAAACTTGTATTTATTCCTTATAGTGTATAAGAGCTTGTTCTCTATGATTGTGCAATTTTGTGTGTGTGTGTGTGTGTGTGCGCGCGCGCGGGCGCGCGGCGGCGGGGCGGGCGGAGACTGCACTCATAGCAGAAGCAGAACTGCACTCATAGCAGAAGCAGTTGCGTCTATAGGCCTATGAACGCAATTGCAGACTGCAGGTTCATAGTGGGAGAATGCAGTGGGTATGCAATTATTTAGAAATAGACAGAAAGATAAATCAAGTGCATTTGCCTTTCAACTGGAGTTGAAGTTCGTGCAACAAAGCTTTAGAAAAGTCAATCAAAAGTACAATGTACATGTACTTTGGACAATATCGCTTTTTATTCTATACCTTTGAAAATTTAAGATAGACCTAAATGATTATCGTGTGGGTTAAAAGTCAATTTTAATCTGTTAATGTGAGCAGTTTCACCTTATTTTATATGTTAATTAAATCGACCTCATTGTATTAAAATCAAGATGGTTTATGACCACGGAGCATGCTTATTCACGTACATGCACGTAAAAAAAAAAAAAAAACATAACTACATGAGATTTTCTCGCCAAAAAATCTCTTCGTTTCACACTCGTGCAATTTGTGGTGCTTATACGGACGAACAACTTCATAGAACTCTTTCTTTATCATTAACGAATTCCTCCAATATATGTGCATGATTTGGGGGATCCAGAGGAAAATCATATTGACAAGAATGGTGCGTTTAGTTCTATATGCCACGTATTTAAATCGGACTATACCTATATAATTGTGTCATCATTTGACATATATACTTTTCCGTGTTTTAGGGCTTTGATATAAATACATCCGCATCTGACAACAATACAGGATACCAGTAACCTTTGACCTTATTGCTCAATATATTTAATTCACTAATCCTTTAGAGTAAATACAACTGGATCAAGTCGTGGTGTTTTTCTCGTATTTCTTTATTATTTGTTTTAATACACTGTAACTTTGCTAGAGACTGGGAATACTCCGAGTGAATTTGGTATGGAAAAGGAAGACGTGCCTCCATCGGTACCTGCAGTGTATCCAGGACCAGGCACATCTGATGTAACAGGAGGATCAGCTTATGTAGAAGCAGACATCATGCCAGAAATAAGTACGTGACGGATTTCTTTCATTATACATACTGAGCATACATGTACGTGATGTATAGAAAGAACCCAGCGGATAGTTTCTAAAGGGGAGTGGGAAGTCTGAGAAGTATTTTCTTAAATTAAAGTCATTTTATTAATAAATAATGGTAATGATAAAAAGAAACACTGCAAGTAATAAACTAAACAAATGATTAAGTTAGGTTTTTTTTTGAAAAATATTCTTTTAAAGGGAAGTGACCGCATAATGCATCTTATAGGGCTCTAATGTTAATGATTATTTTACTGCAAAAGATCTATGTATATGTATGGCAAACATGTATGAAGGAACTGAATATGCAAAATATTCCTTTTGTTTCGTAACATGAATTACCAGTATTCGTGGCACAGACACTTGTTTTTTGGTAATAAATGTTTTAACCCATAGTAAAATAATTCTAAAGTTTATCACTGAAAATTAATGTCTTTGATTCGATCCCATCTACTTATACATGTTACTTTTTTTCATATTACTTATACATGTTACTTATACATATTACTTATACATGTTACTTATACATATTACTTATACATGTTACTTAAGGATGCAGTTACTGTGTATTGATTGTCTACTAATTACTTTCTTTTTCAAGATCCTCCTCCATCTTATGACTCGGTATTCACAATAGCTAGTTCAAGCCATCTGAGGTCCAACAAATCTAATCCCTATAAAGATGACAGAAATATGTGGGAAAAAGCTCATGATTGCTTTGAAATGTCAGGTAGCTTTTAAAAGAACTAGAGTATATATACATGTACATATATTCTCATAATTGACAATAAAAATTTGTAAGAAGACTAATTTCTATTTTTTTTTTTTTTTTTTTTTGTGAAATCTTGAAATAACTTTTTGAAATATGACGCAATATATTCATTAGAAACACTGTGCCATTCATCGTACAATGTATGAGGTTTGTTCGAAAAGTTCACAATCCATTTTAATATTCATTTAATATCATATCAAAAAATATTTATTTTGTTCATGTGCAAATTTTCATTCCATATGTTTTAATACAAGCTTTTTAATTATAATATTGAAAGAATTTGTCCTCAGGGAACGCACTTCAGGAGATTAGTATATCGTCAAAAGCGTACCTTAATGGAGTCTCAAAATATTCTCTCGATCTCCATACCAACTCATAAAAAACGAAAAACTTATTTCCCTGCTGCTCAGTTTTGTCTGTTAAACATATATGTTAAACTGTTAAACCATGTGCATGTACAGTTTTAAATGATTTATTTCAGTCCTACAGCAGATTATTTGGCTCATTATGTTGGCCTTTTCTATTTCCTATATTTTTTACGGTGAGTCAAATATTTCATTTTTCAAGTCACACTATTGACACTTCTTAAGGTAGGATTCTTCTCATATTTCTAATAATTAAAAATTAATGAAATTTTCACAGAATCAAGAAGACAATATCAGTAAGTGATAGTATCAGTTAAGTTAAATTTGACCGTTTTATTTTCGAGGAAAGGTCAGGTCAAGGTCATTGTCTTTTTCCTTGACATTAAGAATAAAAAATAACTGTTGCCAATCATGTGATACCTACTTCTATTTTAAAAGTTAAATGATTGTTCTTTTTGCATAAAAACATATTACTATATCGGGTCTATAGCATGATTAACTTAACTGGATATTAGCTAATCCGAATTTTCTCTGTTTTTCTTAATTTTTTAGGATATATTAGTTATTTTCATATGCTTCCTATATTTAACTTTTTCTTATTTTCACATATAATAAAGTAGTTTTATAAATGTACAAAATGATACAAAAACAAAAAGTTTTGATCGTTTGCTAAAAGAGAAAAAATACTTTTTTATGGATTTTTGGCTCAAATCTGCACTTTGATAGGAAGTGTTTAAAAGCTAATAAAGTTCTAGTTTGTTTGAAAAATCATATTTATTTGATATATTTTGAAAGTTTCGTCCCTCATTATTAATTCAACTTACATTTGAAAATTTCTCCAAGTCTTCGATTGTGTAAAAATTATAGCTAAATTCATTGTTCTATTATAATTTTGAGAGGGAGAAAAGAAGATATTTTCATACGCCACCATTCCGCCAAAAATATAGTCCCTGCTAGTTTTCAAACGAAGTTTACCATTTCTATCTAAAGTTGTACAATTGTGATCAGGAAAGAAAAAATATGGTCTTTCAAATTCCTTACACCTCAATTTATAAGACAGATAAGCAAATATACTTTGAATGTTTCATTTAGTCAGAAACCAGAGAAGAATCCTACCTTAAAGGTAATTCCTTTTTCTGTTAAATTTCCTCTTTTTTCTTTTTCCAATGCTTTATATTACAACTGCATAAACTGTACATGTACATGTGTAAATTTTATACATTATAAGACTGCTATTATTAGCATACTGTTCATTGTAAAGTGCAATGAACAATGGAAATGGATACTAAGTTTTCCATTTTTATGTATATGCAAATTAGCAATCACAATGTCTCAAATAAGGAGTTATGTGGCTTTGAACAGTACTTGGCTGATGCATGCACTTCCTTCAATTTAGTTAGGTTAATAATGGTCCAATATTACGATGGGGATTTTATTTTTATATTTTTGAAGAAGCATATACAAAAGAAAATAAAAAAAAAAATGAAAAGAGGAAGAATAAAAAAGAAAACATTTGAATTTTAATTTTACATTATGGGTATATCATGTATTGAAGTATCTACATGTAATAACTTATTTTTTTTTTCAAATCAAACTACGAGTTTCATACAATTAGTGCATTTATAAAAAAAGCACAACAAAGAGGTACATTGTACATGAATGCTTATGTATAGTGAATGTAAAATTAATGTACATGTGTGTTAAAGTATTAATACTGACTTTCGTACATTATGCGATTTTGGTTGTTGTTGTTGTTGTTGTTTTTTTGTTTTTTTTTTTTGTTTGAAAATGCAATAATTAAATAGAACAAAAAACCAAATTCCTTAGACAATTCTCTTTCATAAAGGTATTAAATACAGTGGCCAGTGTTACTGGATAAAGTTTAATGAAGACGGTGACAAGGAGGACGAAGAAAATCTTACAACGTTTATACGAGCAGAGGGTGGTGTCCTATGTGCCACCATTTGTGGTCTTTTTGCGGAGGATTACTGTTTTTCGTGACAATCGCCGCAAGAAACGTTTATCCAGACCTGATATGGACGGCAAAAAATTTCTTGGAAGCATTTTTCTTCTTCTTGGCATGGGATTATATATCACTGTTTTCGGTTTATGTATTGGTGGTGAGTACCTCGTATAAAATTGTTAAAATCAAAGGACTTTATGCGGTAATGGCCAATATTCCCCCTCCAAATCAAACTTTGACGGAGAAATTAATAATTATGTTTTGAAACAGGGGGATATTTGCAGACTTTCAAAAGCAATGAATGTTTTCATAAGCCATGACGTGATATGTTTGATATGACGTAATGAAAATGACTGAAGTTGAAAATTTTCATGATTTCTTCAGAAAAAAGTGAATATTACGTCAATATTTTGAGCAAAAGTCACCGAGCGCAGGTCTGCTCAGTGTTTTAATATCATGTGTAGAATGACAATATCAGTGTAAATATTGCTCCTGAGTAGACCCGCGCTCAATAAATTGAACAAAACTTGTATTTTTTTTCCTCTTTCTG